AGTTCAGATGAACTCGATGACCACTTCTGCTCTCCTGAACATGGCTTTATCTCAGGTTCTATTGGGGTTATAGACAAGTGTCTATCCCTGCTCTCAAATAGTTCACAGCTTCAGGGGTTGGAGATGAAAGATGTAGAAATTCAGACAGTGCCCGCCCCCGGCCCCCGCAGAGGCTACGGCACAGGCAGGCAGGCGTTACCTTGGGCTCAGACAGGGGCTCCCACTCCCTGGGTGGTTTTTTGCTGGAATTGCCAGAGGAAGGGAAAAGGGAAGTGAGAAAGGAACCTTGGGATGTGTGGGGTGCCCACCCCTCCTGAGGCCAGCAGACCCCAACTTTGCCTCAGGGCCGGGCGGCAGGCATTCGCAGGCCTCTGCTAGGACAGTGCTCCCCAGGGTCTGGAAGGCCCAGAGCACCGCAGCTTCCGGCCGCAGGAGGCCTGGTCCCCCGAGCCAGGTGAGAGGTCACCCACCAGCGCAAGGTACAGGGTGAGGCGAGCCCCCGTGACTGCTTCCCCCTCCCAGGTGCCGGGCGGGTCTGGGGCACCGGCAGCAGCAGCAGTGGTAGCAGCGGCAGCTGCAGCTCCAGCTCCACAGGAAGGTAGAGGACGCTCACCTGAGCAGGTTCCCGGGGGCCGACTGCGAGCGCTCCTCCCGCCGGCTGCCCTCGAAAGGGTTCCCGAAGGAGCGCTTCCGGATCATGGTCTTCACCAGGATCTGAGGGACAGAGGAGGTGGCGGGTGACTGCTTGGCCACCTGGGGACCCTGTCTTCCTTCTCCCCCGGGGCACAGAGCAGGCAGGGCCTGATGGGAAAGTGTGGGGGCAGTGGCCTTTGTCCAGGAGATTGGCTGAGTCCCCGGGCCTGCCGAATGCCCCTGCTCCCAGATGCCAAGTTCAAGCACAGACTCCCCGGCCTGACATTCAAGGCCTGTCATGAGGCCCAGCCACCCAACGACCTCCATGGGCTGTGCCCCAGGACAGCCAGCCTGCATGTCCCCAGCTACCTCTGCCACCAGCTGTCCGCCGTGAGCCATTCCTAGGTGGCACACCCGGGCCATCCACCCACCTGTCTTCAAGGCCAGGCCCTCCTTTCAGCGAGAGCTGCCGGCTACCAGTCCACCCACCAAGGAACAAAGCTGCTTCGTTGTGGGGGTTGCTTTAAAGACAGATACCAGGGCTGGGGATTTGGCTCCGTGGTTCTGCCACCTGCCCTGTAAACGCAAGGTCCCAAGTTCAATCCCCGGGTACCAAAAAATAAATAAATAGAATAAAAAATAAGATACCATTCACATCCTGTAAATTCCCCCTTTTGCAGGACGGGGCACAAGTCCTGACCTAAAACAGCTCAGTGCTCGCCTGCCACCTCCTGTGGCCTTCAGACCCCCAGCGGACTGTGGTGCCACACACCCTGCAGAGATGCAGCTTTCTTTTTGCCAAGTGTTTTCCATCTGTAGTCGGCTGGATGAAGAGGTGAAACACTGGGTAGGGAGGGCCAGCCATATACAACTGCTTCGTACTACAGTCACCGTTAGCTAATTTAGGACATTTTACATTTCCCTGAAAGAAGACTGTACTTGTTAGCAGCCATTCCCTTCTCTATGCCCTGCAAACAATAATCTTTCTATTCACAGATTTACCTACTCTGGACATTTCCTATAAATGGAACCCTACAACATGTGGTCTTTCATGCTGGCTCCTTTCACCTCCCACTGTATTTCCAAGATTCGTCCACGGGGTACTCTGTGGCAGCACTCCATTCGTGTTCATGGCCCAGTAATATTCCTCCACGTGGCTGGACCACAGTGCTTAGCCATCATCCGTTGGCAGACATTTGCTTCTTTCTGCTTTTTGAAAGATGCTGCTGCTGCTGCTGCTGCTGCTGCTGCTACAAACGTATTCACACTTGGATTGTTATGGGAACACATTTTCTACACAAAATGATTTCATTCCTCTTGGGTGTACACTAGGAGAATTTCTGGACCTCATGATTACTATTTAAACATTCTGAGGAGCCACCAGACTGTTTGCTGAGATGTTTTACATTCCCCCAGATTCCTCAACTACATTTCAGTGGAGGTTGGGAAACATCCCAGGGTTCTGAGCACAGGCAGTGCACAGGCTGGTGTGGGATAAGGGTCCGAGGCCCGGGGCTTCTAGACGGTTCCAAGTCTGAGCGGCACCGAGGCCTGGCCTTGCCCACTGGCTGGAGCGGAAACTTCCCGTGCCTGCTGCTTCTCCCCCTACCTGGCTGGCCTGGCCTGTCTGAGAGGCCCCTGGAGACAGGTACTCACCTCCACCCAACAGCCACTGCTCAGCGTCTGCCTCTGCCCCCGCAACCTGTCACTCACCCTTCCTGAAACCCAGTCTGATCCCCTCACCCACAGGACCCTGGGACTCAGCCTGTCGCCAGCCGGGGAGTCCTGGAAAATTCCAGAGCAAGGGAGGAAACAACCACCCCCAGAAATGCTGTGTTCTGTGAAGGAAGAGTCAGAGGAAGGGGGCGTCACTGAGAGGTCAGGCTCAGGCCTGCACCCTGCCTTTGACCAGAGCACACTGCCTCCTCGAGTGGTTTCAGGAACCGCCTGAGCTTCTGACTCTTTAAGGGTTTACTGATAAGAAGAAAAACAAGCATTTAAAAGGCACTGATTCAGGCCCGGGTTTTAGCTCAGTGGTGCCGCATCTGCCTCACAAACACAAAGTCCTGAGTTCAGTTCCCGGTACCGCAAAAACAAGTAACAAACAAAATACATAAAAAGCACTGATTCTCCAAAAGGTGGAAACACCCAAATGTCCACTAACTGAAGAGCAGAGAAAATGAGACCTATCCATATGAATGTTACTTAGTCACAAAAAGGAACGGATGCTACACACAGGCTACAACATGATAAACCTTAAAAACATTTCACTAAGTGAAGAGGTCAGACCCAAAGGCCACACAGTTCTGTGATTCTATGGGTGTGAAGTGTTCAGAACAGGAAATCTGTAGAGATAGAAGGTAGAGTAAAAAGGAAGGGGAAGTGATCACTCATGAGTTCAGAGACAGTTTTTAGTTTCTTCCTCTCCTTTCTTCTTTTTGTTCTTTTCTTTTCGTGTGTGTGGGGGGGTCTGGAGCATAAACCCTGTTGTTGCACTGAGCTACAACCACAGCCCATTTTTCTGTTTTATTCTGAGATGGGTCTCACTAAGTCACTAAGTAGCCCAAACATGCAATCCTCCTGCTTCAGCCTCCTGTGTAGCTGGGATCACAGGCATGGACCACCACACCGGATAAGGGTTTCCTGGAGGTGAGAAAAATATTTGGTCCCACTCCTCTCTGGCCCCTCTTTCTCACACAGCCGGGAGTTCCCAGGAGCCGGCCCTGGCCCTCTCTGTACCCTTGAGCCTGGGACGGGATGTGCAGCAGACCCCTCTGTTCAGCATGAGCAGGCTACATTGGCCCAGGCTTCCCGCCCCTCCATAACGGCGCTGTTACACTGGAAGTATCAGAGCTTGGCTGAGTTCACTCCCAGCCAAGGTCAACTGACTCCAGCTAATTCCTCCCCTCTGAACGAACCGTTTGCTCTCCTCAGCGGAGATGTGCTTGTGCCCTCATTCTCTAGTCCTGATGCTTGTTATCAGCAGGTGTCCCGAGGCCTGCCCAGCTTCCCCTTCCCACACCTGTAATGAATAAACACTGGATGTCCTGGGAGTCCTTGTCTTTACTGCCTCCAGCCTCTGTCTGTGTTTTCTGTTTCCTACTTTCCTATCTCATGGAAGTCATACTGGCTCGCAGGAGACCCTTTCCCTACAGGATGGGCCTCTGCAAGCATTTGCTGCAGACAAACCCATCAAACCCACCCAGGGGCAGGACTTGTCATACCTGATGGGGACTGCAGCCCAGCACGCACTGCCCCTTTTTGCCTGGGCCACACTGTAGGAAAACCCTGCAGAAACTTCTCCACTCTGGCTCAAGATTGAAATCTGTGCTGCATCTCCCTGCCTGGCCTCGCCTGCCTCAGCAGTCTTGGCTTTCTGGGAGCTTCTGCTGGCCCAGCTCCCTCCCACTGCAGGACAACGCCCATACTGTCACCTCCAGGCCAGCTGGCGCCCTGCCACACCCCAGTGCACAGGGCCTTATCCCTTGAAGCCATCCCGAGCACAAATCTGCCAGGGACCCCACTGTGCTCTAGTGTTTCCGAATGACACATGCCACTCCCTTCCCCAAGAATCTGCAGAGGGAGGGCATTAAGCTGGAGTGACTGGAGGTGGGCGTCTATCATGGTGGGGGTCACACAGAGGCCCGTGGGGGAGGACAAGGCCTGGACCGGTGCCCGCCCTGGGGCTCAGGTTTTGGAAGAGATAACAGTGTGCGAAGCAGGAGGAAGCAGCACAAAGCGGAAGAGAAGGGCCAGCATCTGGGCTCCCCAGGACCCCTCCAGGCTGGCCACTGCCTTTGCAGGCTCTCCTGGGTCCCCCGGAGCCTTGTACCACCTGCCTTCTTGCTGTGGCTGTCACTGGCCAAATGCAACTCAGGCCTTCAAGGTGGCTGTGGCGGGCAGCCACCTAGAGACCCTGATCCCTGTGCTCCCAGCTCCCTCCTGGAGCCAGACACCCTGTGGGTGAATCCTACAGGCTCCAAGGTCAGGCCTAATTCTCCACATTCTGGTTCCTTCTTCCTGGGTGCCAAGCGGGTATCGCTCACCCTCAGGGGTTAGGAAAACTTTCTGCCTGGTGTCATGTGGGAGCCCCTGCCCAGCCCCGGTGACTGCCCCAGGCAGACCTGACAGTGCCATCTGCTTGGGGACGAAGATCCTGGCCTCAGAACCTCAGTTCGGTCATCCCCACCTCCTGCCTGGTCTTCCTCCTGGATCCTCTCCCTGGACCTGCTCAGAAAGCAAGGATCCCAGGAGGGCAGCATGGTCCTTTCAGGGGGCAGCCTTTCTCTAAGGAAACACAGCAGCCGTAGGGCCAGCAGGCCTGATCCAGGACCAAAGCCCAGGGCCAGGGGCTAGGGTGAGGGAAAGCCCTGGCCATCTCCTGACTCTTGGGCCCCCATGTGCTTCCCAGGAGTCCATCCTCCTGTGTCCCCGCCCTGTCCTCACTGGGGCTGCCTCAGGCTCTCGGTCCCTGCTCTGTCATCGCCTTACCACGGTCGCCAGGCTGGGGATGTGTTTGACCGAATTCTCGACCTCCTCTTCGGTCACCTCGACCAGTGTGCAGTTCTCGTCCTCCGATGGCAGTGGTTCGGCCCCGTGCCTCGTGACCCAGGGGTGCAGCTTCAACAAATGACAGGAGGGGTGAGGAGCGTGCAGCAGCGCTGGGGGCAGGCGTGCAGGAGTGCAGGAGGGACCAGCAGGGGCCAGCATGCAGGAGTGCAGGAGGGAAGTGTGGAAAGCCAGACAGGACAGGAGGAGTAGCAGGGCTGAGGTGGCGCGGGCCAGTTCTGTTGACCCAGGTCTTGGCAGGAGTGACCAGAATTTGGCATCAGTCTTGCCCGGCTGCCCAAGGGGCACCCATCAGCCGTATGCAGCTCTCCTGACATGCAGGGGGCTTGGCTCAGAGGAGGCGACATTCTCGTTTCAGGCGGGAGCACAGTGAGACCAGCAGGAAAGACACAATCAGAAGACCCGGCCAGCACCTGTGCCCTACTCCCTTCCCTGGGTCTATGTCCCCATGTGTGGCCTTTCAGGACTCCCCAAGCACATCTCAAGATTTTTCAAGGGGCCAGGCATGTGCGTGTGGCGCGGGGGATAGGATTCTCTCCAAAAACTGCTTCCTGCAACAGGGCAGCGCCCCCCAGGCTGGGGAGGTGGAAATGCTCTGCTTGTGCACAACTCACTGCAGTCCCCGTAGGGCTGCATCTCTGACCACGGGGCCGAGGGAAGGACCCGCTGTTGAGCACTGCCACTGAGGGTGGATGAGATGCAACCCCAAGTCCTCCTCCCCACCCCTCGTCAGCCCCAGGACACGGAGGGCAGTGGCATCATGGTGTTGAGCTGTAGGCCAGGGCGGGGCTGGGCCACAGCAAGGTGGAGCCAAACAATCCCAGGCACAGGACACAGGCAGACCTCAGGGCTCAGCCGCTGTGGCCGACAGTACCTTGATATCCGGGACCACAATCCTCGACTCGGGGTTCTTATCCAGCATACGGGTGATCAGGTCCTTCACATCCTCTGCTATGTCAGGCCTGGAGGTAGGAGACACAGCATGAGGAGGAGACAGGATGCCAGGACTGCCGCAGTCAGAGAGGGAGGCGACAGCATGGGCAGGCAGTACTCACTGTTCGGGGAATTCCAGGGCCTGACTCTTGATCTTACTGTGCAGACACATGATCCGCTCGTCCATGAATGGGCACTGGGAAGACAAGAGTGGAAGAGAAGAGCATGGCCTCTTGCCGTGTCACAGGCCACCTGTGTTGCACATGAGCTATGGCACAGACGGGGACTACCCTGGCTCCATCTGGTCAGGGAGCAGGTCCCATCCCCCTAAGTTCCAGCAGACAAAGAAGGTTCTAGAAGGGATAGAACCCCTCCCAACAACAACACTGGAAGTAAGCCAATACTTACAGAAAAGCAAATACCCTTCTCCACCCACCTGCCAGGAAGCAATGAAAACATTGAGATCACCACGCTAGGCCTCGCAACTGGGGCAGTGACGGTGAGGGCTCGGCAGGCCTGGCCCACGTGCCACACAGAGGCTTTCTGTGACCAACGTGTCACCCTCAGCCCCTCCCCAGGAACGATCCTCCCACTGAAGCATGAAGGCTGGTTCTCTGGCCAGGCAGCTGTCTGACCAAAGCTCCCTCGGGGAAGTCTTCCCACAGCCACATGGAAAGTCCCCATCCCCGCCCCATGTCACTGCCCATGCCAGCAATGGCTGCAGCACCTCTGTGGACAGAGATCTCCCCAAAAGCACTACTGTCCTTGTCTATCTGCTGATTGTTCAACTCCTCCACTGGCACATCCACTCCAGGAGGGCAGGGATTTGTTTCTGTCTTGCTCTCTGTGGGCTCCCTAGTGTCTAGAAATATTCCTAACTCAAAGGAGGGGCCAGTCAACATCTGATTAATGACGGCTTGAACTATCCGAGTGTCCTCTCAGAAGCCTTAGAAGAGCAAGTAAAGGGTGTGCGGTGGGCGGGTCAGTGGTACAGCACATCCACCCCAGCACCCAAAAGGAAAACTGTCAGTGTTATCCTCATCTTGCTGAAGAGAAGAAATCTGTTCGGAAGCAATGGCTCCTGGAAAGGACAGCAGGATTTACACCTCGCTGGGGTGAATTCCGGAGCCTGCCTACACTTTGCACCACTCGCTGGGTAACAAGTCGACTCAATGCGTTCACAGCCCACAGGCCTGACCAGGAGGACCTGGACTGTGTGAGCTGGAGAAAAGGAGCTCATCTGAGCCTCCTGTCTGAGGACAATGACCAGCAAGGGTAATCACTGGACAGGGTTCAGAAGGAAAACAATTTTTTTTGTTTGTTTTTTGAGACAGGGTCTCACTATGTAGTTGAGACTGACCTGGAACTCACTATGTAGCCCAGGCTGGTCCCCAACTCACAGCGATCCTCCTGCCTCAGCCTCTTGAGTGCTAGGATTACAGTGTGCCACCACACCCAGCTAGGAAAACAACTCTTAATAGCTGCACATCTCAGTGTAGGCAAATTTAACCCCAAAAGAAAAAAAAAAGACCACAGATAAATCCTGAATTCTAGCTAATGACTGCATTCTGAAGCCCTTGGAAGAGTAAAGATGTTGGCGACTTACTCTGCAATATATTAAAAAGTAAGGGAGACGGGCATGGTGGCGCACGCCTATAATCCCAGCACTCCAGAGGCTGAGACAGGAGGATCACTGTGAGTTCAAGACCAGCCTGGGCTACATAGTGAGTTCCAGGTCAGTCTCAACTACATAGTGAGACCCTGTCTTTTTTTTTTAAAAAAAAAAAAAAAAAAAAAAAAAAAAAAAAAGGAAGGCCCTAGCCAGGCAGAGTAGCAAATGCCTACAACCCATCTACTCGGGGAGATCACAAGTTTGAGGCCAGTCTGGGCAATTTAGTGAGACAGTGTCCCCAAATTAAAAAAATAAAAAGGGCTGGAGTGTAGCTCAAGAATCCCTGGGCTCAATCTCCAGTACTGAGAGAGAGGCAGACAAGACAGACAGGCACCCATAAACAATGTTGAAACAATGACAGCAAAATAACCACAACAAAATAACAGAACAGTACACCCTAAATCAATAGCACCAAATGGACTTTAATTGCCATTACACTTCTATCCCTGAGGAACACTGATGGACATCAGGCAGTATTGAGCTGTTATTGATTAGTGATGTCTGTCTGGGGCACGGAATGGGGAGACATGGCACATTCATTGCCCTTGCTCTTAACTCACTATCTATGAACTCCAGAGTCTCTGCCACTCTTTCTAATTCACCAGACCTTTTCTCAAATAAGAATATTATATACAGATATGGACATTTACAAAGAAAGTACAATAAAATGTGGAACTTTCAAATGAGTAAGTACTGTCAGCATTAACCCAGGGGGTCACCTAGGAGTCAGGACACCCCACCCTCTTACCTGGCCAAAGACAAAGCAGTACAGTGTCACACCCATGGCCCACACATCCAAGGCCTGCAGGAGAAAGAGAGCTTAGCATAACAGGCAGGGGCAGGGAAGGGCATCTCCAGCCTTCCTCTGGGACCACCTCTTCTTGACCCCCAAGCCATGCAGTCTGGGCGGGGCTGCTCCTGTCCCCAGATGCCTTGGTGGGCATGTGATCCAGGCCTGGCCAATGAGAGCCCCACTTTCCCCAGACATAGTGACTAGTCCCAGGATGGGCACATGACCCACACTAGACCAATCACAGCCAGCCCTAGGGTTTTTGCTTTTGCTATTCAGAAAGGGGGTTGCTCATGCTTACTGGGGTTGTCTTTACACTGGCAGAATGTGCTGGTGAATGGCTACTAAGGAAACCAAATCAGTAAACAGCTGAAAGATGGGGGGATGGACAATGGGGGAGGCAGGTCCCTGTATCTGGCCGTACCTGAAGGCAAATGTACCCACTCCCCAGCTATTAGACCCAGTGGATTTTCTGTTTAAGTCTGTTTGAGTTTAGTTTTTGCAAACACAGGCAGAAACCAGCAGCTCAACAGGTCCAAACCCACCTTCCCAGAGAAGATCTTGCGGGTCTCCGAGAGTGACTCGGGCGCCATGAAGGCGGGCGTGCCCACGGTGTTGGACAGGAGAGCATCACTGCCCTTGAACTCATTGCTGACACCAAAGTCAGCAATCTTGATATGGCCATCGTCTCCCACCAGCAGGTTGGAGGGCTTGATGTCTCGGTGGATGATCTTCTGGTAGTGTACTGGGGTGGGGCAGACACCAGCAGAAAAGACAAGGCAGGAAAAAGCCATGAGGGTCCTCGTGGAGCCACATGGCCCAGACACAGCAAGGCACCCTGGCCCCTTCTCAAGCTTCCCCTCCCATGCCTGCTGGGCACTGCACACTCTAAAAGGTGAGCAAAGGGCCAAGATGTAGCTCAGTGGCACCACCCCTGCCGTGCAAGCGCAAGGTCCTGAGTTCGATCCCCAGTACCAAAACAAAAAAGGTGAGGGGAAAGTGTCTTCCAGGAGTTTCCCCATTCCCCAAACACTGACTGGCTGCAGAAATTTGCCTGTTACAGCTAAGTCCAAGTGCCAGCACATGGAAGTCTTTATTTATTTATTTTTGATACCAGAGCTCGAACTCAGGCCCTTGTGCTTACAAGGCAGGCGGCAGAACCACTGAGCCAAATCCCCGGCTGGAAGTCTTTACTGAGTGTCTCCTGGCTCCCAGCTCTCAGACACAGTCTCATTTACCAACAGCCAGCACTCATCTTGTCCACCAAACCAGCAGTACTGAGGGTAGGTGGACGGGGGGCGTGGCCCCAAAACGCAATCGGTGCATGGCTGCCCATGCCTGGCTGGTGTCAGCGATGGCAGGGACCAATGCTGTGGCCTGGAAGCCCCAGCTGTGTTTCAGGGATAATGGTGACGAAGATGATGCACTGGGAACAGTGGCTCACATTGTGGAGAACCCAGTCCACCAGGGCCTAAACCCTGTGCAAAGTGTTTCACGTTCACCCCAGTGAAACTCCTCCTGGATCCTGCTCGACAGGCAGGGACAAGTCAGGTTCCCCACGACACCGCCACTGAGAACCACTGTGCCCCAGCAGACCTTGGCCCTGGTGAGAGATGCTCTCCCTGTCAGAGAGGGGTTCACGGGATCCCTAGCAAGTGGAGGCTCTCGTGGTACCTGCCCGGGTCCCACTTTCCCTGCTTCTCATTTCTCTTCTGTTGGCCAAGGCACGGCCTGGGCTGCCCCTCCGGTTCCACTTCCCTGGCTTGCCCCCAGCCCCGCAGCTAACGAGGCCCACTTACGGTACTCGATGCCTTTGATCAGATCCTGGAAATAGAAGCGGGCCTGGTCCTCAGAGAGCGGCTTGAGGGTGGGCACTTCCATCACAGGCCTACAAGGGGAAGCGCGGTGAGCTGCACGCCGGCCCCCAGGCCCTGCCCTCTCCCCGCAGAGCCCATCTCACCCCCTCTCAGCTGGCGTCACACTTACCCCTGGTTGACCAGTTCAAACACTGCAGGGAGAGAGGGGAAACGGTTACACCAGGAAACCACAAAGCCATCTCCTCCCATTCTCCCTGTCTCTCAGCTGCCTGAAGAAGTCAAGCAGCCCAGAAACGAGAAACGGCTGGGGAGGCAGAGCTGTTCGGGCCCTCTGTGCTAAGTTCCTACCAGGGGACAAAGGTTTGGAGATCTCAGACCAGCTGGACTTCTAGGATTCAGAATGGCCAAGGCCCTGCAAGCAGGGACAATGAGACCCAGAGAAAAGCAGCAGGTGGGGCCAACTCATCTCCCACCTGTGCTATGAGTTGCAGGGATGCAGCTGGGGCTAAACTGGGTCCCCTGTCCCCCAGCTCCTCAGCACCATGTCCCCGAGTGAGGGCAAAGCTGTGGCTGCCTCAAGCTGGGGTTAGATCTCTGGCCTTTTCAGACCTACAAGCTGCATGGATTCCTGCACCTCCCTCCCTGCTGACAGGCACCAACAGCCTGCTGCCCTGGGGAAGCTTCAGCCAGCTTAGCTACTCTTGGGGTCTAGTGTGGGTGGGAACTGTTTTTCTGCCACTGAGCTACATATCCACCTCATTTGTTTTATTTTTTTCTCTTTCTTTTTTTTTTTTTGCATCAGGGTCTCATTAAGTTTTTAAGTTGCCCAGGCTGAGCTGGAACTTGCAATCCTCCTGCCTCAGCCTCCCAGAGAGCTGGGATTACAGGCATCCACAACACCAGCTGAATATTCTAGAAATAGAATTGTACTTTTCTTCCCTGTGAGAGTCAGGCCTGTGGTTTAAGACCCTTCCTGATGTCTGCTACCTTGCCTGTTTGTCACCACACACCGGCTGTGGCTAGAAAATGAAAAATAATCACTGCCTTTCACTTCTGTAATTTGCTTTGCCTTGCTTGTTTCTTAGGACAAAAACATGAGAGGTTTAACCATTAAAGCTTAAAGGCACATAACACCAGTTTAAAATGTTGTGAGATTAACAGATGCCAGAGGCACTTAGCCACATCCCCAGAGGGAAACCAGATGTCCAAACTGAGATAACAGTTGCCACACCCTAAACCCTAAAACTTTCTCACCAGTCCTGCTTTCCTAACCCTGACCCCATTCTTTTAGGCTAGAATAGCTAAAGATAAACATCCTAAAGAAACGTCCTAAAAGAGAATGCTACATTTGGGTTAAAATTGAACTGTCTTGTGACCACGATTTGTGATGGGAACTGGAATGTCTTATGTAACTTCCCAAAATGAGGTCATGATTGTAAAACTCCTATAAAAGGTACATTGTAACCCAGCCCAGGGTTGGTCACTTAGCACAGCCCTTAGGGCAGGTTGACCCTTTGCTGGCAAAGTAAACATTTTGTTTGTTCGTTTGTTTTACCCACTCTTGTGTCTCTGTATGTCATTTACCAGTTCCTTCCCCAAAATGGCTACCCCAGAAATTATGGGCCAGGAAGCTGCATGGCTCCAATAGCTCAGGAAATTCTTCCGAGATGTTTAAGGACATTCCTCAGTCCAAAATCTCTGAAGGCACCCATCTGACTCCAAGTCAAAGCCAAATTGTACAACTGTAAAATGCCCTCTGCCACCTGGTCCCCCATCCTGCCAAAGCGTCACCTCAGTGAGACATCCCCCGAGAAGCCACATGCTCTCCATCTGCCCACCCTGGCACTCCTTGGCTCAGACTCCACTCAAGGTGACTTTCTCAGAGAGCCCCAGGTAATGTCCCTAAGGATGGTGCTCAGTAGATGTGGTGTAAGAGTGGGCCTGAGGCTGAGAGGCTACAAGACTGCTGAACACTCAAACAAGCAGCCTGCACAGAGACGGCCTGGGGCCATTCGGAGTTGAGTCTGAGAAAATTGTGCTGGGCTGCCATGCTGGGCCAACACGATTCCTGTTCTATTTCTTCAATCTTCAATCATTTGTCCATCATGTTTACAGCCTGGCTATATTTATATACCATGGAAACCAGGTAAATTATTACTTTCTTTAAATCAACTCAACTTCTAATCTTTTTTCTTTTAGTGGGGATTAAACCTAGGGCCTCACATACAAGGCGAAGTGTTTTACCACTGATCTACGTCCCCCACACTTTGTAAAAATTTCTGAGGCTGGGGATGTAGCTCATCCTGCTTGACAAGCACAAGGTCCTGGGTTCCATTCCTGGTACTGACAAAAAAAAAATTTTTTTTGAGACCAAGTGTCTCTTGAAACTCTGCCCAGGCTGGACTTCAACATTGATCATCCTGCCTCAGCTTCCCAAGTAGCCAGAATTACAAGTATGAACCACCACACCTCACTTCAGTTTCTAATATTTTAACACTGTCCTAGGCGATAACAGACATGAAATTATTTAGTTACTGGTTGTAGTTTTTCCTATACAATGTTAAATACAAACAAAAATTTCCAAATTGTTTTCTATCACCCTCCAAATTGTCTCATATACTTAGGGTGACAGCAGTTCCACATCTGAGAAATACTGAGATAGTGTGCTGTTCACATTGTCAGAAATCTCTCATGATTTGGTTAGAATTTCCTAGTTTTTGTTTAATGTGATTAATCAATTATTTAATTAATTTTGTAGTGGTGGGGATTAAACCAAAGGCCTTGCAAATGGTAGACAAGCACTCTGTCATTGAGCTGCATTCTCAGTCCTTCTCCTAAGTATTTAAAGTAATGCAGCTAGCCAGGCATGGGTGGTGCATGTCTGTAATCCCAGTAATTGGAAGGCTGAGGCAGGAGGATCGCTGTAAGTCTGAGGGCAGCCTGGGCTACTACTGAGTTCAAGGCCAGTCTTAACTATGTTTGGATTCACAAAACCAAAAAATCTAAATTTGCTGGGCGTAGCTCTGAGAGTTCGAGACCAACCTGGGCTACACAGTGAGTTCCAGGTCAGTCTCAACTACATAGTGAGACCTTGTCTCAAAAAAACAAACAAACAACAACAACAAAAAAAAACTAAAAGAAAACTAAAAAATTATAAAATTCAGATGTGGACTATATTAGGCTCTTAAGGAATTGGCAGTAATTTTTTTTAGTGTGATAATGGCATTGGGCTCATGTAGGAGAATGGCTACACAGTGAGTTCCAGGTCAGTCTCAACTACATAGTGAGACCTTGTCTCAAAAAAACAAACAAACAACAACAACAAAAAAAAACTAAAAGAAAACTAAAAAATTATAAAATTCAGATGTGGACTATATTAGGCTCTTAAGGAATTGGCAGTAATTTTTTTTAGTGTGATAATGGCATTGGGCTCATGTAGGAGAATGTCCTTATTACGGGATGCAGGCTGAAGGACTTAGAAGGCTGAAGTGTCCAGATAGCTGCTCTTTTAATTTCAAAGGGTTTAGCAAAACCAAGAAGTAGGTGGACAGCAGCTACAAGGATGAAAACAAAAGTCAGCCACCAAGATTAGGCAGTTGTCTGGTGGCGTCCATTGCACTATCCTGTCAGTTTCTGCAGACCTAATATTCTCATAGGAAGAACTTGGAGAGGACAAACAAAAAGGCAAAGTGAAAGTGTCCTCAGCAACAACAGCATCGTGGAGCCACTGCCTGGCAGTGACCACAGGGAGCTGAGCCCAGGCTGGAAAGCTTCCCCCAGTGCTGGGTGTCGCCCATCCCAGGACGTGGTCCCAGGACCTGTTGGTCCCTCCCTCCCTCTGTCTACTTCCAATGCCCACAGCTGGCAGCACTGTCTCATGACCTCTGCGGTGTTAAAATGAGGTCTCTAAGGACACACCTGAGTCTATCTCCATGTGCAGTGCCCAGATCCTTTGGCAGTTCACAGGGCTCCTAATACCCATTGTGGCCTCCCCTCCACCCATCTCCCTGCTGTACTCAGCTCCAGCCATGTGTTTCTCAAACATAGGACGATCTAGCTGGCCTCAGAGCCTTTGCACTGCTCTTCCCTCAGTCTGGAACACCCTTCCCCAGATGTGCCAGGGCTGTGTTCTTCACATTCGGTGCTAAATGGTCCCCTGTGTAATCTTGGAAAAGCGTCTCAAATTCTCTGGTTTAGTTGTTGACTGACATTCCTAATAAAGGTGGCAATTTCCTAAGAGCAGGGGTCTCCTCTTTCCCATTCTTCACACATCCTCAGTCCCTAGCACAGCACTAGGCCTACAGTAGGTGCGAGTCAGAAGAGAGGCAAAGGCACAGGTAGGAGAGAACTCCCTCCCACCTCCTGCCTCCACCCAGGGGCAGGGCCCTCTGTGAGGCTCACTGCAGGGCCAGCTGGACGGAAAAGGGGAGCTGCGGTCAGTGGGGTGTGCCAGGCTCTGGCAGGACGGAAAGGCTCTCTTACCCATGTACAGATGGTCTTCATTGGGGTCATCCAGGACCTGTCAGCACCACCGCCCACAGCAGCCAGGAAGGAGCAGAGAGGAGAGAGGACAGCTGTGAGCAGAGAGGAAGCAGGAGGCTGTGCCTGTGTGCCCATGGCACCCGCAGCGCTCATGGAGGGTAGCTCCTTTTAGTCCTCTTCCGGCTCAAGATAGAAGGCACAGGAGAAATCCCAGACACCCAGCGGCTCCAGGAAGGGATGCAGGGCAGCTACCAGGAGCCCAGGCCCTACCCTGCCAACCCTAGGCTCCCATCTATCCAAGCAGGCATCCTCACCCCTGGGAACGGCTGGGCCCTTGCCACCTGCTGTTCCCTCCCCTGCAAGGCCCTTCCCTGTCATCTCCAACCAGGGGGCACCCAGGGTCACATCAAAGCTCACGTCCCCCTAGGACCCTGCTGCACCGCCTCCATGCTCCCACGAGCTGAGGGCCCAGCACCTACACACTGCTTAGTCACTGCCTCAGCAGATGCGCCGCAAGTGGGACCGGGGCCTTCCAGGGGCCCCAGGAAGTCCACTAAGTGAAACTGTTTTCATTTTATTCTTTTTGTTTGTTTTTTGTTTTTTGAGACAGGGTCTCACTATGTAGTTCAGACTGACATGGAACTCACTATGAGGTCCAGGCTGGTCTCAAACTCACAGTGATCCTTCCTCGGCCTCCTGAGTGCTGGGATTACAGGTGTGTTCCACCACGTCCAGCATATTTTAATTTTATTCTATGTTTTATTTGTTTGGTTGGTTTTTGGTTTTTTGAGACAGGGTCTCACTATGTTGTTTAGACTGGCCTTGAATCACTATGTAGCCAGGCTGGGATCAAACTCACAGCAATCCTCCTGCCTCAGCCTCCCAAATGCTGGGATTATAGGCATCTGCCACCATGCCCAACTTCATTAATAATTTTTACATTTCTCAGTATATATTCTAATGTGGTACATATGAATAAATATAACCCACATAAAGAAGAACACTTTGAGTTCTTCAATAATTTTGTTTTGGTACCAGGGATCGAACTCGGGACCTGGCACTTTTGAGGCAGGTGGCGGAACCACTAAGTATGATACAGAGAAGTTTTGTAAATAATCTAAAAACCTACAAAATGTGAGAAAAATGTAAAATGACTTCTGTCTCTAACAGCAATCTGCTTTGTTTAGTTCAAAATTAACAGACACTGGAGGCACTGACCATGAAATGGGACACCTGGCCTCATCCCTGGCCTTGAACACCCCCTTCCTGTGCACTAGAAAAGATAGCTAGAGGAATCTTAAGGTAAACTCCCCAACTGCAAAGAACTGTTCACCTGGGTTAAAGTTAACTATCTTGTGACCATGACGTGAACTGCGAGAATGAGATGCAACCACCCAAATGAAGTCAAGGCTGTGGAACCCTGTGAAAGGAGGACTTGTAACCCAGTGTGTCCGTCGATCCAGGCACGGCTTATGTGCATCGACCCTTGTCAATATGTAAATTTGGTATTTTACTTCCATTCTGCTGCCTCTCTGTGTGTCACGTGCCAATTCCTTCCGTAACAACTAAATCCCCGGCCCCTTCAGTACTTTTTATGTACACAAAGGGGTCTCGAGACCAAAAGTGTAAGAGCTCCTGAACCAGAGCAGAGGATGGCAAATTGCAGTGGGAGGCCAAACCCAGCCTTCCGCGTGTTTCTGTAAATAAAGCTTCATCGGGACACAGCCCTGTCCATTTGTTTACACAACCTGTGAGGCTACTTTCGCCCCACAGCTACCTAGAATCAGAAAGGGCGAAGGGCAAGCCTCAGGGGCCCTCGGCCTCAGCTTCCCTATGTGTACGTGGGAACGCACCCATGAAATGAACAGAGAGCAGTCCAGTGCAGGGTGACGATAACATAGCCCTAGCAGACCCTGTTGGGACCCCGCAGACCCTGTGACCAGTGCTGGTCGCCTGGCTCACCTCCACCAGCTTCACCACATTGGGGTGGTCCAGCTTCTTGAGGATGGCAATTTCCTGGTACACCTGCTCAATGGGGCCCCGGGGCTGGACGCAGCCACCCAGGGATGGACGGGTGCCCCGGGGTGGGGGGCGACCTGGAAGAGACAGGAAGGACCTGGGTCAGGGCAACTAGGCATCTCTGCAGAGGCAGCAGGTGGGACACAAAGGCGAAGGTACGGCAGGCTGGGGGATGGTGCCCTTGGGGCCCTGGCCAGCCCTGTCTTCACGGTTCTTCCACTGCCCCCTTCTTAGCCTTCCTGTTCAGTCCCTCGCTCCCTGCCGTATCCCAGTCCAAGGTGAAAAGCAGGTCTGTAGTGGGCAGTGGTGGAGTACAGTTATCGATGTTGGTAACCCCAGCACTCTAGGGAAATTGAGGCCAGAGGATTGCAAATTCAATCCTAGCCTGGTCAACTTAGCAAGATTCTGTCTCAAAATTTAAAAATATAAAAAGAGCACTGGGGATATAACTTTGTGAGAAGGCCATGGGTTCAATCCCACGTCAAAAAAAAGAAAAAAACTGGTGAATCAATTAATAGCAACGTGCTGCTCAGTGTTCCAACAAGCAGGATAAACCAGGGTTCTACTATAAGGAGGGGGCTTATGCTTTCTCTAATAATTTCTTCTTTTGACCCAAGCCAATACTTTGCCTGACACTGCTTGCAGGGAGTTTATGTTGGGGCAGCCTCCGCTGTGCCCACCTGCCGATCTATCCTCACCTCCTTTTCACAGATGAGAAATAGTCCAGTGGGTCGGTGGGTAACAAAATAGTCCAGTGGATACTCATTCATCTGCTGATGGGCATGTCAGGTTGTTTCTACTTTCTGCTCATTGCGCACAGAGCTGCTACGAACATTCATGTTCTAGGTTTTGTGTGGACATATATAAGAGGTGACCAAAATACATGGTGAATATTAAACAAATTTTAATTACAGTATAAGATACATTGCCATTAATACCCCTCAAAGTGAGGGATTAAACAGAGGTACGCTCCTCACTTCGAACCCACTTATCCCATCATTCTTCCTGCTTTCTGAAGCAGTTCTAGAAATCCTCTCTCTTGTCTTTACGAAATGCGATAAAAAATGCAGTGAGTGCTGCTGCCAAGTGGTGTCCAGCAGAAAAATCCCCACCCCCCTTATTCACCAGATGTGGTACTGTGCGACAGCTGGCTCTTCCCAAAATCAAAGTGATCATGACAGCCAGCTACTGGAATGTGTTCGGGGCACGGAGGCAACTGTGGCAGTGCAACGGATGCCACTCAGGAGAGAGGACTCCTGAGCCTGCGGAGGCCGGAGGGTGGCGGGATGAGCGGGTTCGCACTGTAGGGCCAGTGCCTCGCTCTTCACTTTCACTTGTTCAAATAAATTCTGTCACCGCTAAGTTAAAAAGCAAGGAGGAGTATTTTGAGAGGGATTAATGGCAATGCATCTTTTACTCTGACATCTTTTTAACCTCAACATTCATTGCAGTTTTCCATCCTACATTGTACCATCCATTCTCTTGGGTCTAGACCCAGGAGTGGAACTGCTTGCGACTCCTCCTTTAGCGTGTGTGTGTGTGTGTGTGTGTGTGTGTGTGTGTGAGAGGGAGCGGGGATACCGGGGATCAAACTCAGGACCTTGCACTTCTGAGGCAGACATGCACTACTGAGCTAAATCCCCAGTCCACGTTTAGCTTTTTGAGGAACTACCAAACTATTTTTCTCTATTAAAACTTTTCTCTCTTAAAACTTTTAACCTGATACTTTTTTTCTTTTTTTTTTTTGGTACCACGGATCAAACTCAGGACCTTGCACTTGTGAAGCAGGCAGCAGAAGTAATCCCCATTCTTTTATTTATTTATTTATTTATTTATTTATTTTTTGAGACAGTGTCTTGTTGTGTAGTTCAGGCTGGCCTTGAACTTACTATGTAGTCCTGGCTGGCTGGCTTGAAACTCACAGAGATCCTGCCTCAGCCTCCCCAGTGCCGGGATTATCGGTGTGCCCCACTTCAGGGCAGTGAATACTCTTAAAAGAAACTGAATATAGCATCTCAGCAGGAGGACCGCCCGGCCACAGGGGGGCGCCACCCCAGCCCGCACTCACGGGGGAAGCCAGCCTGCCGGATCAGCTTCTTCTTAGACAGCACCTTCATGGCCTGTACAGGAAGAGAACCGGGTCCCATTAAAGCGGGCGGGGCAGGGGAGAGCATCCCTACCCCAAGGCTGCCTAGCTCGATCAGCAACCCCGCCGGAGCGCCAGGAGCCTTTGGCGAGTGGGCTGGAGTGATGGCCCGGCTGGTGTACACATCACATGGTAGGGACACCTCACTTGCCCAAGGCCACACCCCGGGAACGTGGAAGAGCCCAGGTTTGAACCTGCACCTGGCTGACTACAGCTGGTGCAGCACTGGGCTTCCCTCCTTTGGCCTCAGGGTGAACCGAGGCTGGAAGGGAGCTCCCGGTCACCGGGACAGGGGACAAGCAGGGTGAGGGACACTCACGTAGTAGGTGTTGTCGCTCTCGTTGTAGGCCAGTTTGACCACACCGTAGGAGCCCTGGAGGGGAGGGAGACGCTGCAGAAGCTGGACGGGAGCCCCAGCGAGGTTTTGCCAAGCCCGGACACCCAGGAGCACAGCCCCTAACTCTGTCTGCTGCATGGGTTTCCACACAGCTCAAATTACTTGCCGACATTTAAAGAGAAGGATCTGACATAAAAATTCATATTTCTAGCTTCTTTAATAAAAAATCAGATGATCTGGACATAGGGAGACCTCATTTCCCAAAACGTAGTTCACAGAGACCTGGCTTCTCCCACCTCATGCCTCCTGGCACCATCTTTCTAGCCTGCCTTCTCCCCTACCTCACCTGCTTACACTGCTAACTCCTTTCCTATCTTGGGCCTCAAACTCACAGTAACCCTCCCGCCTCAGCCACCCGAGTACTGGGATTACAGGCCTGTGCCACCACCCCCAGCCACTCTTCCGATCAGCATCTGAGTTTCTGACCTCTGCAATAGAACTGCCCATGCCTTTGAAAGAAACAGGTATGAGAATAGTTTAGAGGGGAAAAACCCACCGCTGTGATGGTGACTATCACTGGCAATACGGGTTTCTCTCTGGAAGTTTCCTAGCTTTTACAGAAACACATTTAATTTTAAGATACAAAGGATATACTCCTAAGTGAAATAAGTAAGTCACACGTGTAAATACCGAAGTTTCTCTGGTGTGAGTAAACTGTAATAGTACACAAATCTTTTGTTCATATTTTCATTAGGTAATTTATTTTTTGTTGATGGAGTTTGAGAGTTTCACATATACCTTCATTATTAACTGCTTATCACTGTATGGGGTTATTCTTTATATAATATATATGTGTATGTATAATTTTTCCTTTTATTCTATGGGCTACATTTTCATTTAGTTGATTGTTTCCTTTACACTTCAAGAAACATTTAAGTATTTCTCAGATGTTTATTCTGCTTTTGTTCCTTGCACTTTTGGCATCAATCCAGAAATTATTACTAGTACCAATGTTGTGGAGCTTTCTTCCCTCCTCAGATTTATTCTAGAAGTTTTATAGTTGTAGCTTTTATGTTTAAAATAATTTTGAATTTTATTTATATTTACAAAGGAAATAAAATTATTTGTAAAAAAAAAACTAGATTAATAACAAAACCTAAACTGGGTGTGGTGGTGCACGCCTATCATTCCAGCACTTGGAAGGCTGAGGCAGGAGGATTGCACCCTGGTCAAGGCCAGCCTGAACTACACAGTGAGACCCTGTCTCAAAATGGGGGGGTACAGAAAACCTGTCCGGTCCTGTGCAGCTCCACTCCCCACAGGCCGGCCGGGCAGTGCTCACCTTCCCAATCTCATCCTTCAGCGTGTACTGATTGAGCTGCACGCAGTCCTGGGAAGGAAGCAGAGATCAAGGACGTGAGTTCTAAGGTCAGCTGAGATCTCTTGGAAACTAAACACACAAGGGTCTCCAGGACCTCAGTCCCGAAGGAGAACCCTCCCGCCTCCCAGCCAGTACCCCCTCCAGGGCAACCAACTGCTACCAGGCAGCCCTTGCTTCTGTTCGGACTTTGTCACAGGGCTGGGCTGCCGTGGGGTTGTGGGCAACGCACTTGGTGAGCATGGTGCCCTGGATTTGTGCTCCAGCACAAAAGGAGAAAAAAATCATACAATATGTATTGATTAACAATTTTTAAAATGTCATTTTCACTATCCAGAAGTAAAATTTAGCTGAGCATTGTGGTGCATGCCTATAATCCCAAGGCCCTGGGAGGCTGAAGCAGGAAGGTCTCAAGGTCAAGCCCAGCCTGGGCAGTTTAGCAACATAGTAAGACTTTGTCTCAAAATAAATAAATAACATAACATAACAGGGCTGGGGATTTAGCTCAGTGGTTCCATCTCCTACCTCACAAGCGTAAGGTCCTGAGTTCGATTCCCATACCAAAAAATAAATAACACAAAATAAAATAAGGACTGGGGACATAGCTCAGCTAGTGTAGAGGCACAGCATTCAATCCCCAGTTCTGAAGGGGGAAAGAAAGACTACATTGCTCTGTAAAAATGTAAGGCAATGAAAGAAGAACGTGTACAAGTTTGGGGTAGAAAATACACAAAAAGAACACACCATAAAAGGAGACAACTGAGGGGCAAGGGATTTAGCTCAGGGGTTCCAGCGCCTGCCTCACAAATGTAAGGACCTGAGTTCGATCCCCGGTACCAGAAAAAAAGGAGACAAATGATACACTGGTGGCTTTTGCTCCTCAAAATACCATTCAAAACCATGAGGCAAAGTGTTCACCTCACAGCGCCAGGCCACAGGTGCTGTCCTCAGCACCACAGAAAGGAAAGAAGAGAGAGAAAAGGGAAGGAAGAAAAGAAGAAAGAAAGACCAAGAAGGAAAGGGAAGAAAAGCAAAGCCAAACATAGAGCCCTTACAGCTCAGAAACAGGAAACCCAACACCCCACTTAGACACTGGCGCGAGATCTGAACGGAAATCTCTCCAGAGGAGACAAACAAGTGGTCAGCGACCACATGACAAGGCCTCGTCACCAAGCAAGTGGACATTCAAGTCCTCTGCTCAAATCTGAAGACTGAAATGTGCCCCACACTGGGGGCTGGCCCAGTGCAAGTGCGTCCCTCATCAGAAACATTGCCAGCTCCTGCCTGCCCCTCCCATACAACTCAGCCATTCTGCTCCTGGGAATCGATCCACAAGAAACAAACGCATGTTTACAGAGACCTGTGCACAAACACCCATGACAGTGCTGTGTGTAACAGGAAAAAACAGCCAAGTGTGGGTGAGCCCGGTACTCAGGAGGCTGAGGCAGGAGGATCACCTCAAGTTCCAGACTAGCCTGGGTTACACAGTAAGTTCCAGGCCAGGACATAACAAGACCCTGTCTCAGAAAACAAAAGAAGGGCCAGGGATTTAGCTCCGTGGTGCCACCATCTGCCTTGCAAAAGGAAGGACCCGAGTTCGATCCCTGGTAGCCCCCACAAAAAGAAATAAGAAAAAATTAGAGACGGCCAGCATGTCCATCATCAGATGTGTATACAGATGGTGGCGCATGCCCACCACAGAGTCCACTCAGCATTGAGAAGACCCTGGACTGTCCCATGTCCCTTGGAGTCCATAGGGATGGGTTCCAGGGTCCCTGTGACACCAAAACCTGCTGCAGTCCCTTCCTGAAGTACCACAGCATCTGTACACAACTTCTGCACAGCCTCCCTTATGCTTAAGTCATCTCCTCGTTGCTAGGCATTTAATACAGTGTAGATGCTATGTAAGTAGCGGCAACATCGTATTATTCACGGAATAATCACGGGAAAACAAAAGTCTGCCCAGACGCAATTTTGTCTTTCTGGATATTTTCAACCTGAGGCTGGCTGAATGCACAAATACAACACGGATAAACACATAATCAGGATGCCATGAAAAAAACTACACTAAAAAAGGACCACATACTAAGTGACCCCACTTAGGAAGAGTCTAGAACTTACAAACTAATCTATCACGATTAAAAAAAAACATCGTTGGTGTCGTGGTGCACACCTGTAATCCCAGCACTCAGGAGGCTGAGGCAGGAGGATCGCTGTGACTCGAGGCCAGCCTGATTACATAGAGACCCTATCTCAAAAACGAAACAAAACAAAAGCCCAGCAGCTCCTGGAAAGAGGGAGGAAGAAGAAGCAGGGACTGCGTGGGAAATGTCCCCTTTATCTTAGCTGTCAAGCTGTCACAGAGGCAGTCAGATAATACAACAGATGTTCATACACATGAAATACGCAGGTTTTTGAAAACTTCACCTGCACTCCCATAGTTAAGGGGAAAGTGCTTAGTGATCTAAGAGGACAAACGGGGAAGGAGACACAACAGAAAACCAATCAGACGTGCCCTTCCCCCGCCCTGGTGCAGGTCCTCGGCCGCAGCAGGTGCGGATGTTGGCCCTGCCTGTGAGGCCCCGGCAGGACACGCACTGTTCCCAGGGTGGGGCTTGGGTGTAAATGGTACCACACAAAACCATTTCCCAACCTCCTTTCCTCACTCAGCACTGTCCCTGGTTTGGTCCCTTCGACAGGTCAGACATCACACAGAAAGACGGGCCCGGGCGGCTGTCTCTGAGCCCACAACCCACACACCATGCTGCTGACTTCAGCTTCTGAGGGTCCACTTCAACCCCACTGCTTGCCACAGCCCAGCCTCCAAGGCCTGACCTCACCAGTCACCTAATCACCCACCAAACACTCTTCCTTACAACTCCAGGAGGCAATGTCCCATCTCCACCTCATCTCCAGCCTCACAGGGGGGTGGCTCTGTGGCTGGGTTCTGGCAGTGGGAGGCAGGCTGAAGCTGTGGGGTCGAACTTCCAGGAAAGCAGACTACCTTAGCCTTTTATTCTCCTCTGCTCCCTCTTCCTGCCTGGAATGGAGCTGTGAAGGCTGGACTCCCAGCAGCCCCAAATCACACAACTATCAATTCGGTCCCAAAATGCCTAGCTCAGTAGGGGATTTTCCATCACCTGCCTTGAAAGTGCAAGGTCCCAAGTTCGAACCCCAGCACCAAATAAATAAATAAACAAACTATAATGCCTAGCTCAGATATAATTTGCATGATTAATAAACCCTACTGGGCCATGGATGTAACTCAGCAGAACAGCACCTGCCTGTTAAGCACAAGGTCCTGAGTCAATCCCCAGTACCAGAAAGGGTGAGGGTGGCTGGAGACATAGCTCAGTGGCACAGCACCTGCCTGGCAAAAGTAAGGTCCTGAGTTTGATCCCTGGTACTAAAAATAAAATATCAGCTATTTCTCAAAGGACTAATATCTGGACTATATAAAGAACTTTTAAAAATCAGACCTCCCCAAATTTAATGATCCAATCAAAAAATGGGCATCTGAAATTAACAGACACTTCTCAGATAAAGAAATAAATCCTAGTGCGTTAGCCACTGCTGGGAGTGGGGGCTGTTTCTGTCAGCTGATTCAATTCTGTTATAAACCCAAAGTACCCTCAGCCCCATCTCCACCAGGCCTCATTATGGTCCCTCCTTCCCTACCCTCCTGAGGAGCAAAGGCGAGGGGTGCTTCTGTGGGGTGGACACAGGAGGCCCTTGGAGGCATGGAGCCATCTTGCCAGACTGGGCGGGAGGGACTGCGAGACCGAAGGCCAGGGAGCAGGACCGAGGTTAGAGATGGAGGGCGGGCCCTCCTCACCCAGAGCTGCTATGCGGCCCCTGGGCGCCCGGCCCCCATGTCCCCAGGCCGCACCCCGTTCGCCCACCCTGGTGACCGCTTGGTCAGCTCGCTGGCCCCACCAGCACAACGGCAGCCTCTCCTAGAGTCACCTCCAGCCCCTCAGCGGCACAGACGCTTCCGGGGCCCACGCACCTGCAGGCCCGTGATGGACACG